GTTCTTTTGAACAGTTTCCAGAAAAATTGTAAGCTTTCAGCTGATTTCAACACTCATAATAAGAAGAAAATGTTCATATTAGAATGATTTCTGAAAGATTATGTAACATAGAAGACTGGAGTAGTGGCTTCTGAAAACTCAGATTTTAACCTCCTGAGATCCTGCATCCTCATATGAGGACATTATATTTTAGTGAATTTCTCTGAGACTATACATGCCACAGTTTTAAGTCTGGATGTCCTGTACAGAGCACATTCAGGGCTTTTCAGAGATACTAAATGTTTGGATGTTTCACTATGACCACTCCCTCTCCTTGGTCTTCAAAAATGTCTGATATTAATTTAGTGACACTCTTATGGAAATATGATAATATTTTGTAATTATCATTTAAATCATCTGACTAATTTTTAAACTGTGTGTCATAAATCAACATCTCAGGAAAATGTTATGGGGTTTCAAATCAAAATATGACTTTCTGTTACGAAACAGGATGCTGATTTTATACATGTCCTCATATGAGGACACTGGGACTAAAAGCATGTTTATTATGGGAGACACAACAAATGAATGGGGAAAGAAATTATATTTCAGTATTCTTATGAAATATGATATATTATTATGAAAATCTTGTCAATTATTACTCCCATTATTACACTTCTTTTTTCATTACATGTTGCCCCAAAAACACATTAATATGCAAATTAGATTTAGTTTATAGATACATTATATATAATGAGAAAACCTGTTCATTGCCATTTTACACATATTTTGCATAAAGAAAAATGGTATATCAAATCATTCTGTTATAACATAATTGAGAATTATCTTTATACAAAGTTTGGTAAAAAAAAAAAAAAATCCTGAAAACTAAAAATGTATTGGTGATTTAAAAACAAAATCAATTGTTTTTGCCTATGCGTGTTCATTCATGTCTTTTTATTTTTAATTTTTAAATTGAGTCCCGATAGCATAACTTATGAATGAAATATCATTTTTAAATTTTTTAATGCTCTAAACAATATAATGACATGAAAAAATACTTTTTTTTCCTAAAATGTTTTGCCGGGTCTCAAGAGGTTAAAAGATATTAAAAAGAAGTGTTATTTTAAATTGCAACAATATTTCACAATATCACTGTTTTTATTTTTTTATTAAATAAGTCACTTTTATAGTTTCAAGGTTGAACCGAAGAGTCTTATTTCAAAGACATTTAACACTTTTAACATTTAATCAACCCCAACTTTTGAATGGTAGTGTTCATATGAACATTTAGAAGTTGAACACATCTGGGATCATTAATATAGGCAAAGCGAAAACCAGATACAGTCCTCAATATATTTCCTGCATCGCTGCTGTTCTAGCCACCACGCACTATATTTAAATACACTGTCAGACTTCATCTAGCTCAAACAATCTTATATGCTCCTTTGCATATATCAACTGAGAACTGAATTTTAATGCTTAGGACAGTCAACTTTACACATGCGGCTAGGTGAGCTTCAGTCGGCACATTCTTCTCTTCTGAATTTAGCAAGCAAAATGCAAAGCACTTGCTAATTATGGATAGAGCAACTTGATGCTTGTTTTTTCTTCTTAAAGGCAAGTGGTGAAGAGCTGCTTTGTGTTCTATTACTCGCATATGACAAAAGCAATGATGATAAGCAATTTTAACATTTACTACTGGTATTATCTAAATAACAATATAGCCTAATTCTACTTTTATACTACTAAACAAGTTAAAGAATACAGATCCTTAAGGGACTATAAAAGTGAATGACAACATTAAATTGAGCTGACAATAACAAAAAACGATATGTATTTTGTTTGTTTAATCAGAGCAAATACAACTGAGAATACATGTGCCCACACAAAAGAGCTTTGTCCACAGGTGCACTTCTTTTCTTTCTCTTCCTATGAACTAACAACAGAAAAAAGCAGAAAAAGAGTAAGAGAATACGAGTAAGAGTGAGAGAGGGAGGTGGGAAAAGGCACTTTCGGTCAGTTCATTTGAGGCATGACGGTTTTGGCAGTTGCTCTGGGCAACATGCCATTGTTTACATGTGGGAGGGATTATAGCAGTTCTGAGCGACGCCATTGGCCGAGGTCAAGTTACACTCGATCAACAATGATTTTGAAATCTTGTGGTAAACCCAGCAGTGCTTCCAATTCACCATTAAATAACTTTATTAAGTGAATGCTATAGGGCCATGAAATGGCCAGAGTATTGGAAAAAACTGACATAAATGGGTTCAGGCAGATGTTCATGTGTCGCTTTTTAGATAGCAGCAGTTCATATATGCACCTTAGATGATTTCTCATTAATTATACACAAACGCTATGGTTTAAATAATTTATTCTTTTCAAGGCAGAGTGTGAAAACTTCAGACATTGCGCAACAGCACAGGAAGACAGAAGTGGAGCAAAGGTAAGGGGAGGAGAGTACTTACAAAAATCCCACGGACACTAACAACAAATAAAACACGCTTTCTACAACATCTGCGAACACACATCACTCATTCATCAAAAACTAATTGTAGGACATTCACAGATCTGCAAGAAATACCCACAGTAATTGTAATCTAATCTGATGGGTTCTCCAGTTGTCATCTAATTCAGTTTACCCACCAAGAGCACAGCCTGCCCGTAATCTGAACTTTGACCTCTGAAGTCCCTCATGACCTCATCGTCCCCTTTGACACACACAATGGGAGTCATCATGACCTCTCGCTCCTCGGTTTGACCCAGCAGAGCAAAGACGTGAGAACTAATCAGATTAAAAAGAGGAGGAAAGGGAGGAGATCAGACTGAATCAGACACAACAAGAACCACTTTTTAATCACAGATGCCTCCTCTTTGATTTTGGTCCACTTTTCTCATTTTCTCTCTATGAACTCTTTAAGTTGGTGGTTTCATCAAGTGCTGACAGACAGGTTTGTGAGTAACACAAGTGTTGAAGTCCACTGTATGACCAGTGGTGTGTGTGCGAGCGGTCAGCATGAGGGGAGGATGATGACTGGATGACCTTCACATGTGCCTGTTGTTATTTTCCATAGGGGTCAGCCACTAAGAATTCACGGCATGCAAAGACCGCATTAGTCTCTTTTCCAAGTAAGCCCTTTTCTCTCCCTCATTCTCAATCTATATCACCACCTCCCTTTTTTCCCTCGTTTATTAGTTTCTCTGCCACGGATTCTTTCATTCTCCATAACCACAAAACTTGTGATAGGAGATTGAAACCAAGTTCAAAAAGTGTGGCTATTTTAGGTTGTTTCCCCTCAGGATATCCTTTTGGACATGCTGTATATTTTCAAACTCTCATGCACATTACCATCCAACCACTGCTGAACCTGCGCACGCTTGTGCAGAAAGTTACCCGACAACTTTTGCAGGCTGTGCACACATGACGCTAATGCAGCATGAGCATAAACAATTCAAAGCCCTTTAGCAAGTAACTGATGAGCAACTGTATGGATTAGGAGCAAGAAGAACGAATCTTACATCGCATGGCTTATCAATCAACCGGCAGCACATGCAGACAGCTGTGAGGAACCGCTTTGATGCCGTCTGAAACTGTGTCTCTGTGTGTGTGCCCCCTCAAAACACCAGGGAGAGAAAGAGAGAGAGAAAGTCTCTATTTCTTGATGCAGTAAATGTCTGGATGTCTGAACAAAGGAGACACAGACGAGACAGAGGAGAAAGACAGCAGTGTATGAGTCCATCATACACTGCAGCAGTGAGCAGACCCTCCGTCAGGATTAATACAAATCCACTAACACACATACGAACACTCCAGATGAGTACTGTATACTGACACACACACACACACATGCATACAGAATATTATACATACAGATATTCGCACAAGTATGTAGTAACACCACTGTAAATGGGACACAATATTTTTCACAGATTTTACAGCAGACATAATGTCAATAATACTTTCATCAAATATGTGCAAATCGAACACAACTGCACAAGCATAGTCCTCTAAACAGATTCTAATCCCAGCAAAGTGGAATATTGTTACATTTTTCCAGATAAACGTTTAAATCGCCATGTGTTTAGATGAAGAAAACCTGTGTGCTAACTTTAGACCCTCCCACGAAGTGAAAAACTCTACTGAAAAAAAACATGCTTATGGTACCCAAACTTAACCTCACAAACACACTCTCACACGGCATGCAGCCAGACTCCAGAAATCTACTTACCTACAACTCCACAACTTCATCTGTTAGTTCCGTGCAGTGACCATTCTTTATATTCATACAGAGATATCTAAAAAACATATACAACACATGCTCTGCTATGCTACTCTATTTCACGTTACTTTCTTTCTTTAAGCGTCAGTTAAATCCAGTTTCAACCTCCACCCTAAACAACAATGAGAGCGAGAGCGAGAGTGAGAGAGAGAGTGGTAGAAGCTAGTGAACGCTCCAGACACGAACGCTCAGTGAAAAGACCACTGCCACTTTTCTGCATACTCTTCCACCCCCCACCCTCCTCTGCTCCTCTGTCTTGCCCTCCCCTCTCAGAGACGCAGTCCTGTAGCAGAGCAGAAGCCATCTGGTACAGTCCAAAGTCCACTGCATCTCCAGCGAGTGTGCGTGTGTGAAACAGAGGAAGAAATAAAAGTTACTGTTTGCACTGTATTGAGTTTGCATCCCCGCAGTGTGTGGAGTTATGCGAGTATATGTCTGATATACATGTTTGTGTTTTTTTGAGAAAGGACCAACGGCAGTCCTGGCTTACTTGCTGCCGTAGGTGAGAAAAGAAATTAGGGAAGAAGAAGAAATAAAACACTTTTAACAACTTAGTACTATATACAGTATGAGTTAGTTTAGTGGTACAACACAGCTTTCATTTAATGTGCATGGGGCATGATACTTCTGCATTTATTTGTTAATCTTCTTACATGTTACATTACATACATATTACATGTTAATCTTTTTTTTAGGTACAACTGACAGTCATAAAAGTATAAAAAATAGCATGAAACTTACCATTCAAGGACAGCATAATTAAGATCTGAAAAAAGGGAAAATCTGAGCTTTATTCAAATGAGCTTTATTCCAGAAAGACAGTATATTGGTTTATTCCACAAAGATAGATCATAAACAGGATGCATCAGTATACAGTATATAGTACATTATATTCTTCAAAAGATCATAATCATGTTCTGACCATGCTCTGATTGACAGGATTAGATTAAACTTTCATTTAAAACTCCAAAAAATTTGAAAAATTTTTTGAATCTGATGATCTGAATCCGAGACTGAAATTTTTCAACTTGCATATATTCACAAGGAACACAGCACTAATAAAAAGAACTTACCAACAGAAAATTTTGAAAATTTCCTCTTGAACATTTTGGTTCATGCAGGTCACAAATGTAAATTTTACAAATGTCTCTGTGTTGCACTTTTAGATATATGTATGCAAAGGTAAATTTGTCAAAACGCTCGCTTGTTTTCCCTCAAAGAATTTCCCTTTTCAATACAGATTTCAGATCACTATTTTAAAGACTCCAAACTTTTTGTGTGAACATTGATACAGTCAAACAGAACCTATGAACCTGCAAATGAGTTCATATTTAAGTTAGAGATTTCATACTCACCCCAATCAATCATGGTCCATCTTTGTCATCAAATAGCATTATCATCTTCCCATCACATCCTCTCTGATCCAAATTATAATAGCTATGCCTAAAAAAGAAAAATAGTCAATAGTCTGTGTTGCTACACTTCTAAATTAGTGAGAAGCAGTTAAATGTTGGACACACATGCAGAGCGACGCGAGGAACATTATTGAGAACCGCTGCTTTAGAACATTGATTTTGAAACTTGTGAATCCATTAGAATCGTTAGAAGACAGAATCGCGATTCATATATAAATAGATTTTTACATACACCCCTAGTTTTCTCTTCCTCTTCTCTAAAGCCTTTTACCGAGGGCGGGGGTTTATCTGGGTTTGTGATGTCACGAACCCGGGAAGTAACTTGTTGTAGTCCCTACCAGCCGTTTTTGTAGGCATTAAACCGCCAGAATTTTAAAAGACGATATCTCTTGTTTGCATTGAGCTTTCAGCTTCGTAACTTTGCAGATATTGTTTATGCTCAAGCAGCAACATTACACACTAACTAACGTTAAAAAAGTGAAATCACAATCAACCACCCCTTTAAGAATACCCTTATAATGTATTATAAATACGGGCTTCATAGAAAGTGTTACCGAACTTTTTTTTGTTTTAGTTTTTTTTTTTGTGTTTTACCAGAGACCCCCCTCCTCCTCAAAAAAAAGTCCAGAATATGTGGAAACTTCTTGAATGCAGTTAAAAAAAAGCATCCCAGGAGGTACCTCATGAAACTGGTTTAGCGAATGAATGTCCAGATTGCTCAAAACTTTAATTTATGCAAATTGTAGCTACATTTAAGCAGCAAAATCATGAGATAGTTTTAATCTTTTCAACCTTTTTGGTCACTACATAATTCCCATTCTTCATTTGTGTTATTTTAAAGTTTTGATGACTATATAATTTTTCTAAAATGTGATCAAAATGTAGAGCTAGTCAGTAGCTATGTTTCCATCCACCTATTTTTATGCGCATTTAAACGTTTTGGAATATCGCATAAAAAATGCCGGATAGAAATGCCAAGATGCGCATAAATTCTAAAAACGGGTATAAAAAAACTTGCGCACAAGTGCGCACAACTGAGTAGGATAAACTTTTTAACCGATAAGAAAAAATATGCATAAACTAGAGTGTGCCCAACTTTTTTTTTTTGCACAGTCGTGGCCTAATGGATAGAGAGTCGGACTTGTAACCCGAAGGTCATGGGTTTGAGTCTCAGGTCCGGCAGGGATTGTAGGTGGGGGAGTGAATGTACAGCACTCTCTTCCACCCTCAATACCACGACTGAGGTGAGACCCTTGAGCAAGGCACCGAACCCCCAACTGCTCCCCGGGCGCTGCAGCAAATATGGCTACCCACTGCTTCGGGTGTGTGTTCACGGTGTGTGTGTGCACTTGGATGGGTTAAAGGTGCTGTATGTAGGATTGACACAGAGGGCTGAACTAGGTATTGCAGTCCAAATTCAAAATATTGGAGAGGGTTTTTTTCACACGGCCCCTCCTCCTCAGACTTGACGCACATGCAGGTTGCCAGATTGACGACACCAACAGGAACGAGCGCACTTGACGATGAATGAAATGAAATATGCTGTGTTTTCCGCCAACTGGCAACCCGGGGTCCCGAAATACAATTGGGTAAACTGGCAGTGGGCGGGTTTCACAAACCAAAACAGAGATCAACATTCCGGCCCGGAACGCACATTTTCAAAGGAGAATAACTGACTGTAGCATTGTTTTTCAGATAAACATGTTAACTTAGCATGTTTCTTAAATATCTGCAAACATATTATGGTATTTTTATGCTTTAGTAGAGTCAAAAACTTACATACAGCACCTTTAAATGCAGAGCACAAATTCAGAGTATGGGTCACCATACTTGGCCACACATCACTTCACTTTCTTTCTTTCCCTTTCACTATTGTCAGGATTAAGCATCATTACACATATAGCGCATATGGAGAATGAATGAGGACATCCTGAACTGTGTGTGTGTAGTTGAGGGCAATCTGAATGTTCTCCGGTGTCTGTCCTAGAAATCCCTCAATCTAATATATCCCACAGCACTGACACCAAGAGCGGATCTGTCTGCACATAATCTCCTCTTTTTTTCCTGACCCACATTTACACGTTTACATACTGTGTGCGAGTCTATATATACACATATATAGCATACAGGCTAACTATATGACAGCAGATAAGGCACATAACGTCCCACAGTCAAACATGGTCACACCCAGAGCTTGTGTCAAGACCATCTCTGAACACAGTGCTGCCATTCACAGTTCTTTTGATCTGATAGGGTCTTTCATCGGGGCTGAATGGGTCATGTTTGCTGTATGCATAAAGCATCAGATTCCAGCACACAATAGAAATATTACAGCAATCTAGGATCTAAGAATTCATGCATCCCAAGACTGGCCAGCACTTCTGTATTTATAGACATATACAGAGCCATCATTGCTTTCACACATGAATGTATAGGAGCCATGGCTCAGTGAGCCTCACTCAGAGAGGCACAGCTGTCCCCAGAGGCAGGCCGCCCTTAAAAACCTTTATGTGTGTATGTGTGGCAGAAAGAAAACTACAGAGTGCTATCTGGAAATAGCTCCAGTAATCCAGCTAGCAGACAGAACATTCTGTCTGTGTTTTGTACTATGCTCTGCTGGCTTTGCTGATTCATAGCAATGAGCCGAACACTGAGGACAGCTGGGATGACACTCTATGGGTAATGCTAAAATATGGTCTAAAAAATAGTCGGCCGGACAAACGGAGTCCAATGTGATGATTTGGGTATATATAGATGATATATGGGTTTGTTTGTGTATTAGTGATGCGCGGATGGCGGTTATATCCGCGGGCGCTGCGGATAATCCGCGGATCGGGTGGGTCAGGTAATAAAAAAATGCATTCTGATTATTTGCGGGTGGGTCGCGGGTGGATAAAATAAATCATTAATGATGCAAGTATTAACTACATTTTCTAAATTATGAACGTGTTTTAAATAGGCTACAGAAATTGAATAAACTGTAAATTAACATTAAAAGTTATTCAACAAAACATTATTTAGTCAAGAGCAGTAAGGGATTTTCTCTGTCTTTTGTTGTTTGATTAACATTAATAAAAGACCGCACAGCTTTATTAG